TTGTGGACAGTAGTAACGTATCAATAATTACATTGTGGACAGTAGTAACGTATCAATAATTACATTGTGGACAGTAGTAACGTATCAATAATTACATTGTGGACAGTATTAACCAAGGTAGGAATTCTGCAACAGCTTCAGAAAAAGAGCAACTTGGATAACGTTTCTGTGTAGTGCGGTTGATGTAAAGTGTTCTAATAGAAAAGTGAAACGCTGGCTAGGGTTTTAACCAATAGCTTTGTATCAAGTTTTTTTCTCGCTCCAGCTACAGTATATTATTCGTTATTAAGAAGTTTTACATCAAATATAAGCTAACAAACTAACTTTCAAGAACTATAAAAGTAACGTACAAAGCAGTGGAGTTCATTTTGCCTGAAATACTAACCAGAAGTACTTAAAGGGCAGGCGTGGCCCAATGGTTAATGTGCTCGGAGTGTGAAACCGAAAGTTCACTATTCGCGACCTTTTTCCGCAAAAAATGGAATTTGAAATAATACATGTGGAAAATTAGTAACAATGGAACAATGTAAAAATTTCCAGTATTGTATTATATATCACTAACGATTCACGTGTGTTTGGTTTATTAAAGTATTCCTTTACGGTGCTTTGTAGTTTTAATGAAATCAGTAATGTGAAGTGTGGATTTATCCTTCCGAGCGCAACAGGGTATGTCATCTCTTGCTTCTACTGTGTTCCTGTCACTAGAGGACGCTCACACCAAAATATTGAGAAGTTCAACGAACCATACAGATTTTAAGTTATGTATGGTTGACTTTATAAAAATTTTACGGTTCATGTAAAAATGGGTGTAGGGAAACTGCACGTGTGCTATAAGCCAATGACCTTTATTTATTATATTTTTTTTAAGCTGCGCTAATATAACTATGTAACAGTATGTAGCTACAATAGGTTACTTACTAACCACGATAAGCTCGTGATACAATACACTGATGTTTTAAAAATGTTTATAAAAAATTCTTAATGAGTTTTTATTTTCAGTATATAATATATATATACGATTAACAATTATGTATTACATAATCTGTTAGGTTTGTACGTATCCTAGTTTTGGCATGCCCGAATTGTGAATTCGATTATTCCTAGTTCGCAACCCATTGCTCCGCCCTTTAGAGCTTTGGGTGAGTTCAAAGAGTAACTGTCAAATCCCCTACGCCCCCAGTAGCTCAGCAGTATATATTTGGACTTATTACGCAAAAACAAAGGGTTTGGATACTCGTGGTGGGTACAGCACAGATAACCAACCCTTTGTGTAGCTTTCTGCTTAACTATAAACAAACAAGCAAACAAAAACCCTACTCGGACAGACATGATAAGCGCAAAAATTGATGGTGTGTGCTGGTCTATCAACCCTAAATTAAAGTTAACTATGTACAAATAGCACTTGTGTAGCTTTGCGCGAAATTCCGAAAACAGAATATTTTCTTAAGTTTGTTTGTTTGTTTTGAATTTCGCGCAAAGCTACACGAGGGCTATCTGCGCTAGCCGTCCCTAATTTAGCAGTGTAAGACTAGAGGGAATGTAGCTAGTCATCACCACCCACCGCCAACTCTTGGGCTACTCTTTTTCCAACGAATAGTGAAATTGACTTTCACATTATAACGTCCCCACGGCTGAAAGGGCG